ACTGCCCACAGCTTATCCAGGAGAGATGGAGGGAAATGATGCAAGGGAAGGGGAGGGGAGGGGCTCAGTGGCAGGCTGCTTCAGTCCAGTGTGGAGGCAACAGCCTCAAAGGGAAGTGGGTTCCAGGCCTCAAGTGGTGAAAGGAAGGGGATTTTGCCCGAGAGAAACCTCCTGAATCACACTAATTCTTCTGTGTTTTAGGACTGTGAAGATAGATGTATATGATTGGGACCGGGATGGAAGGTGAAGTTACCCCATGCTCCTTCTTCCCAAAAGTCATTCTCCCTGCTTTTTCTCATATCAGCAATACTTCAAATTTTTATGGTAGTTTATGGTTTATGAAAGTTTCACATCTATTTTCTTATTTGATGCTCACCACAGCCCACTGAGGTTATCGTCATTCCCACTGGACAGATTAGAAAACTGAGACCCAAAAAGGTTACCCAACCACCACATTTCCTAACTCCTAGGCCAATATTTTTTCCACCATACCATGCTGCCTTTTCATTTGCCTTCCCATTAACTGAAATTCTTTTCTCCTGAGAGACGTGTTCTTGAAACCCTGAGGATAGGGAGTCATGGAAGGGCCTGGATCCTGTCCTTTTTTTTTTTTTTTTTTTGGTGAGGCAATTGGGGTTAAGTGACTTGCCCAGAGTCACACAGCTAGTGAGTGTTATGTTTCTGAGGGCGGATTTGAACTCAGGTCCTCCTGACTCCAGGGCCAGTGCTCTATCCACTATGCCACCTAGCTGCCCTGATGCTGTCTTTTTTGAGCCCTGGCAGATTTCACCTCCCCACTCAAACCTGGTTCATCTCTTGTTGCAGCCATGACTTCATTGGGGAATTCACCACCAGTTACAGGGAGCTGACAAAGGCCCAAAGCCAGTTCACGGTGTATGAGGTGAGATGTTCCCATCTCAAGCTGGGGGCAACTCCGAGTCTGGTAATAGTTCTGTTCTGTGACACCCCCCCCCCCACAACACATGCAACTTGATCTTCTCCTCCACCCTTGTCTCATGCCTCCCCCTCCTCATCTCCTGCATTGTTTCTCTCCCCCTTCAACCTCTGACTTCCCTGCCCCATCACTTGATTCCCCAGAGCCAGTCTGGTTTCTGGCATGTGCCACATTCAAATCCAATTTTTATTCCCCTACCCCCAATCGCAGGTTCTCAACCCTAGGAAGAAATGTAAGAAAAAGAAATATGTCAATTCAGGGACGGTGAGTGCTATCTGGAGCCCTGCCCCAGGGTCATCCCTTTTCTCTTCCTCTTCTTGCAACACCCCCTTCTCCTCCTTCATACCATCCCTAGGCCTTTCCTTCTTCTTCCCAGGTGACACTGCTCTCCTTCACTGTGGATTCGGAATTCACTTTTGTTGATTATATCAAGGGCGGGTGAGTCACTGCTCATGGGGTAGCTGCATGATACTGCCCCCAGGAGAGAGTCTTGGGGCTTTTCTCCCATAAGGATTCCGGTGCCTGGGCTCCCTTGGGACTCAGGCCAAACCAAGACTCCAAAAATATGTAGCATGTGCATAATGTGGGGGGTGGGGGGAGTGGCAAAGTCTGAAAAGGGAAGCCAATTTAGGCTCACAGTTTCCTCTTCCCCCTATCCTTCCAACAGGACACAGCTCAACTTCACTGTGGCCATAGATTTCACAGCCTCCAATGGTGAGTACTGGGATGAAAAGGGGAATTTCAGAGGGACCAGCAGGGCTCATCCTCCACCCAACCTGTTGGAAGAGCCTGGCCCTAGTGACCACTGTGCAGTCTTAAAAAAGGATCTTAAAGGAAGATTCATTCCATCCCTTCCATCTCCGTCCCCCCCAACGCCCTCCACCACCACCCGAGAGGCCCAATGGGAGGGACTTAGCAGGATCCTTTCCATCTCCCTCCCCCATAATCCCCTTCCCCACCACCACCTGTGAGGCCCAATGGGAGGGACTTAGCAGGGGGCCAGACTGAATGACTGCAGGGCTGGGGATGCTGTGTCCTGACAGGGAACCCACTGCAACCCACATCTCTACACTACATGAGTCCCTACCAGCTCAGTGCTTATGCCATGGCACTCAAAGCCGTGGGAGAAATCATCCAGGACTACGACAGCGACAAGCTCTTCCCTGCTTATGGTTTTGGAGCCAAGGTGCCCCCCGAGGGACGCATCTCCCACCAGTTCCCTCTGGTATGGGCTAGGAGGGCCTGAGCAAGGGCCCTCTGGCCCCCTGGCCTCTTCCCTCAGGTGACGACTAGGATTGCATGCTGCCTCCCTTTATCGTAGGATCATAGATTAGAGTTGGAAGGGACATTGGAAGCCACTGAATCTGACCCCCTCATTTTACTGATGAGGAAACGAGAATGAGAGAAGCTAAGTGAATCTGTTCAAGATTGCTCTTCCTTCTCCTTCCCCTTCCCCCAAGGCCCAGCCAGGTGCCTAAGCCTCAGGGTTCCAGCTGCCACAGCCTTTCTGGACCCCAGAGAGGCAAAATCCTGCCCCACCCCCTATTCTACCTCTCCTAGCAATCAGCCAGAATGACCCTCTTGAGCTAAGCCTCCCCTGGCATTTCCACTGGCAGAACAACAACTCTGAGGACCCAAACTGCGAGGGCATTGAGGGTGTCCTGGAGAGTTACTTTCAGAGCCTTCGGACTGTCCAGCTCTATGGCCCCACCTACTTTGCCCCAGTTATTAACCAGGTGGCCCGGTACGCAAGGGGAGAGCTAGGGGTGGGAGGGCAGGAAGGAGCCGTGGGTGGGCAAAGAAGCAGCTGGGGAACGCTGACTCCTGAAGGGATCGTGGTGGGCAGTGGAAAGAGAATTCTCTGCAGCACCTGCAGCGTTCTTAGTACTTAGGGGGTGGGAGAAGGGTCATGGAGATGACTGGGGATCCCAGAGGCTTTCTCTGAGGCCAGCATTCTGTGGTGGTGACTCCGTGCTCGGCTCTTCCTCAGGGCTGCGGCAAAGGTCTCTGATGGTTCCCAGTACTACGTGTTGCTCATTATCACAGATGGGGTGATCTCAGACATGACGCAGACCAAGGAGGCCATTGTCAGTGTGAGTTGGGGAAAAGAAGGAATGATTGGGAAAGGTGTGAGGTCTCCCTTCAGTTTTCTCCTTCTTCTAATGGCCTACCCCCACCTCCACTCCCTGTAGGCCTCTTCATTGCCCATGTCCATCATCATTGTTGGGGTGGGGCCAGCCATGTTTGAAGGTGAGTGGGGGGGGGTGGCAAGTTGGACCAGGTGGGGGGAGTGAGAGCATCAAGGCAACATGCTCTACAGGCATGAAGGCAGGCCATGGAGATCTAGACCTATCCTATGGGGCCATCCAGTGGTTCTCCCAAAATGAAAAGGGGTAGAGGCTGGGGCTACTTTCTAGCTTGCAAAGAGTCTGGCCCTCCACTCTGTGAGACCCTAGCTAAGGCTGGGAATGATGGGGAGGAGCCACCCCAAGCCCCAGTGAGAAGAGGGGTATCTTTTGTCTAGCAATGGAAGAACTCGATGGAGATGATGTCCGCGTGTCCTCTCGTGGGCGCTATGCAGAGAGGGACATTGTACAGGTAACCCCAGGCAGTGGCATCGCGATGCATGTGTATTTGTGCAGAGAGGAGGAAAGGAGAGTGGAGAGTGGAAGAAAGGCCTGTTTGATAGGAGCCCACCTCCTTTCCTCCCTCCCTCCCTCTCTCTCTCTCTCTCCCCTCCATCCCCCACCCTGCTCATCCCCTCTCCTCCTCTTCCTATTTGACTCTTCACTGTCTCCACTGCCAAGCCTGTCCTTCCCCTTGCCTCCTAATGATTTCACCCTATCGTCTTTCTTCCTCTCTGTCTAACATGCCCGCTTCCTTTCCTCATCACCATTCCTGCCTTCTCCCACCTTCTATTCTAGTTTGTCCCATTCCGAGACTACATTGACCGCTCTGGGAACCAGGTGCTGAGCATGGCGAGATTGGCAAAAGACGTGCTGGCTGAGATCCCGGAACAGCTGCTGTCATACATGCGCACCCATGATATCCAGCCTCGGCCTGCCCCCAATGCCAACCCCAGCCCCACCTCCTTGCAGCCCTGAGGGGCTGGCCTGCCTGCCCTACTGCTTCCTGTGTAGTCACTTAGAAGGCTGGGTTGAGCTGGGCTGGGCCCAGCTCCAGATCCCAGAGCTGAGAGTGAAAGGGTCAGCCTCATATCAAGCTGCCCTCAGAAAAACCTACCTCCAGATGGTGGGTGGGGCTGACTGAGAAAGGCATGCCACACCCTTCCCCCAACCCCAACCCGTGCCAAGCAAGAAGGGTCCTGTGCCCTCAGCTGAGTCCAGCTACCACCAAATCCTTATGTCAATAATAAAGCTGAGCTTTACCCTCACACCTGTCTCCTAAGCTGGGTGGGCAGGGGGAAGGGTCCAACCAGGAAGGCTGAACCTGGAGGCACTGGGATTGGGCACTGCAGCAGCAGATATTGACTGAATTATAAGATGGCAATCTGGGAAGGAGAAACCAAGTTTCCTTGGGAAGTGGGAAAGGGGGCAGCTAGGTGGTGCAATGGATAGAGCACCAGCCCTGGATTCAAGAGGACCTGAGTTCAAATCTGGCCTCAGACACATAACACTTACTAGCTGGGTGACCTTGGGCAAGTCACTTAACCCCATTGCCTAGCCAAAAAAAAAGGGGGGGGGAGGGAAGTGGGAGCTAAGGAATGATAAAAGTTAGAATCAAATAGACCTCATTTCGAAAATTTTGGGAAAAAAAGACCCCAGGTTCCCACAGGGGAAAAATTGTCAGTTAACTTCTCTATACCTAACACGTGAAACAGGATATTTCCTCTTCTAGTAAACTGCAAATGGCCCAAGTCTGGCCCCCATTAGCTCTGGGAAACCCAGGCAAAGAGATCACTTCTGCCCCTCTATCTTCTCCATCCCATCCCTCTTGCCTTAAAAGGCTTAACTACCCAAAGAGAGGAATCTACATCTAGTAGGTCCTAAGAAAGGAATTGGTCTGGCCCCTATGTACGTGTGGTAGGGGGGTGGGGGCAGGACAGGGAGAAGGAAGGTTAGAAATGGGAGTGGAAGGGGAGGGCTGGGGCTGGCTCTAACCACAACCCCAACAGAACCAGTAATCAGGATGGAGCAAGTTGAGTAAACAGGGCCATCCCAACAGCCCCAGTCACTTCTGCCACTGAACCCATCCCTGCCTCCTCTCCCATTACACACATACACATACATTTCATCCAGGAAAAATGAAGTTCAAATGAACTTTCTGGACAGCCTAGGTGGGAAGAATACACACGGAGCCTATGGGCTGATTGCATCCATGCAGACTCCAGGGCTCTCACACTCCAGATGGTTCATTTTCTGCAAAGTTCAGTCAACCCTTTGACATCAAGAACCTCCAAGTAGAGCCTTGCAAAGGAGCCTTCCTCCATCCCTAAAGCAGCATGTGCATAAATTCCAGAGGGTCTGGGGGACAGCACTTCCCCATCCCAGGTTCCCAAGCGCAGCAGGGGTAGAAGGTAATAACTCCAATCACAAATCCTAAGGGATGCCTTCCCCCCCACTCCCCCTCCTCCCCTAGCCTCCCTCCCTACTCATTAATGCTGTACTATAAGGTGATGGGGATACAATACCACCAAGAACAGTCCCTGCCCTCAGGAAGCTCCCATTCTTCTGGGGGCATGCATACATAGATACATAAACATAAGATAATATAAGGACAAAAAAACCATGAAGGAAGCCCAGGATCCTAAGAAGACAGTGAACTCCAGGGCATGAGAGGGAGCTTCCACCAAGTCACAGGGACAAAAGAATTCTGGATGCAGAATGCATAAAGAGATGTATTGTGAACAGTCTGGAAGGTCAGGATGGAGCCATATCGTGAAGGCCTAAATGCTGAACAAAAGAGTTTAGAGTTTTTCCTCTTAGTCATAGGGAGCCAAAGAAGATTCTTTAGCAGAAAAGGGACATGGTCAGACCTATGCCTTAGGAAAACGACTCTGGTAGAAGTATGGAGGGTAGATTGGAGGAAGGAAGAGTTGGAAATAAGAAGACCAACATGGAGGTGATTAGAGTAACTCAGGCAGGAGATGAGAAAGGCCTGAACGAGAGTGATGAGTAAATGAGTCCACAGAAGGGGTAAAACAGGGTAGGGGCAGCTGACTGGACATGGGGGGAGGGAAGAATGAAATGTAGAAGCTCCCAACAAACAAGGAAGCATGGAAAACAGAAAGGGTACAGAGGGAATATTAAATTCCATTTTGAACATACTGAGGGATCTTCTAGAAGCATGATGATGATAGCAATAATAATAATAACAAGCTTTCATACAACCCTTTAAGCACTTCACATATCTATCTCATTTAATACTCACAACAACCCGGTGAAGTTGGTGCTATTTTTATCCCCATTCTACAGAGGAGGAAACTGAGGCAGACTAAGGGTAAGTGACTTGATCAGAGTCATCAGCTAATAAGTGGCTATGGCAGAATCTGAACTCCTTTCTTTCAAAATCTCAAACTACAGTTTTATCCACTAAGCCACCTAGTGGGTCAGTCCTCTATTTGGCAAAATCCAGCAACCTCCTATTACCCTTCCTCCCCCCAGGATCAAATATCAAGTTTTTGGTCGGGCCTTTAAAGCCCTTCATAAGCTGGCCCCCTCCCACCTTTGCAGTCTTCTTCCATCTGACTCCCCTCCACTGATGCTCCAGGTCCCTGGGCTTCCCGCCTCTGGGCCTTGGGGCCACCTGGAAGGCCCTCCCTCCTCCCCTGAAACAGCTCAAATTCCACTTTCCACAGGCTTCCCAGGTCCCCAGCAGTTGGCTCCTTCCTCCTTCAGATTACCTTCCGTCTAGTCTGAATACATCGTGTTAAGTACGTGGTTATTTATGGAAATAACTCTCCCCACTTAGACTGTAAGCTCCTTGAAGGAAGAAACTGTTTTTGCCCTTTTTTGCATCCCAAGGGCTTAATACAGTATTTAGCACACTCTAAGTGCCTTAATAAGTACCTATTAATAGTAATAATAATAGCATGCATTTCTATAGCACTTTAAGGTTTCAAAGCACTTTACAAACATTTCATTTTATCCTCACAACCACGCTGGGAGTTAGGTGGTTGATGCTCTTATTATCCTCATTTTACAGATAAGGAAACTGAGGCACAGTGACTTGGGCAAGTCACTCTTTACACAGCTAGTAAATGTCTCAGGCCATACTTGCACTCAGATCTTTCCAACATCAGATCACTTAACCAGTAAGGTTAGTTCAGTGTGGACTGAGTAGTAGATGCCTGCTACACATCCAGATGGAGCTGTCCAGCAGGAAGCTGAAGAAACCCTGTTCCTTCAGCTTTCTGACTCCAGTAAAAAAAAAAAATGTTTAATTCCTAATGTTGTAAATTCAAACAGCCATATTCAGAGAGCTCCATTCCTATGAGTCTGGTCTCCTGGTTATAGACTTACTCAGCTGTAGCAATAAAAAAAGACTTTCTATTAAGTCCTGAGAGATGAGGACTGCAATCTTCCCACTGCCTCAAGTCTTGAATCTCTCTCTGAAACAGTGAAGTAAGTGTTATCCTTGAGACTGTATCACCTACTTCAGCTACTGTAATCTGTCTCCATGACTCACATATCTCCCTCCCTCCAGTCACAACAGAGGCTGCCATTGGGGGAGCCTTTTCCAACATCCCACTCAACCAGACAGTATACATGGGCCATTGTCCTGTCTCACGACCTGTGTTGTGTACCCAGCAGCACTGAGGTCCCCTCCTTCAGGAAGCACCCATCTCGAGCACCCCAAATCCAACTTCTCCATCCTATCTGCCCTTCCTTGATCAAATGCAATCTGTTTGGCAGATCTAGCCCAGACAATCTAGTTCCTCTTGCCCTGTTCCTAAGGCTCTCTCTCCCTCAAACCTTTCCAACCCCTGGTTTTTAACTTTTCTACACTAATTCCCATTCCACTCAAAGACCCAGCCCCAGGTCTCCTGCCCTACCTCCCTCTTTGTTCCCTTCTCCCTCTCTCAGCCAGTCAACAAACATTTATTAAATATCTACTACTGCCAGGAACCATTAAGTGTTGGGAAGATGTAGAAAGTCAAAGTGTCTGCCCTCATGGAACTCACTCTAACGGGGGCGGGGGGGGGGGGGGGAACAACACGCATGCAAACAACTATGTACAAAAAGAAGATATAGATGGGATAAACTGGAGTGAACGTGTTTCTCTTTCAGGTTTGCAAAGCACTTTAAGATGTGAGCCTGACCACGAAACAACCTTTTGAAATGATTATATACAAAGCACTCTGTCTTGTTTCTCTACTCTCCCTTCTTACTCAAAGTCTTCCTTGGGTTAAGCTACTATGGCATTATAGCCTTTTATCACCCACATGCCTTCACATCCCCAGCTCGTTCCAGATTTTCCCTGCACTCCAACAGTTAGGCACCTTCCCCCCCTCCTGGGACACAGTGAGTAGGGACCTGGTCCCTAGACTGGTCCCAAGTCCTGGTCTGAAGACCTGGATTCAAGTTCTCCTAGCAGAGTGACAAGTCGCTCCTCCTCTCTAGGCCTCAGTTTCCTCCTCCGTAAAAGGAAGGTGTTGGACTCTAAGGTCCCTTCCAGCTTTATATCCCCCTCTACACTGTTATGACCCTGGACAAGTCATGTTACCTTCGCGTGCCTTTGCCTCAGTTTCCTCCTCTGTAAACTCAATGGCTTTGAAGGCCCTGTGCAGCTCTAGGTCCGAGGCCCCATGGCCCTCATCCGGAGGGTGAGGTACAGAATGCCCCCAATCAAGTGCCTGGCATGAGCGGGCACCCCCAAGGAGAAGCGACTGAGGCCGGACAGAGGCGGCCCAAGAGGGATTCGAACCTAGGTCGCCACCGCAGCCTCGAGCTCCGAGGTCAGCGCGCTGTCCCTGCTCCACGCGGGCGGGAGGTGGCGGTGGCAGTGAGCGGCGTGCGAGCGGGACCAGGCTCGGTCCCGCCCCCTAGCCCAAGCCCCGCCCCTCCCTTCGGCGCTCCCTCCGGGCTCCCGGCCCCGCCCGGCCCGAGGGGAGGGCACCAGCGCTCGGCCCTACCTCGGCCCAGCGGTGAGGGCGGGCAGGCAGGCGGGCTGGGACAGAGGGAGGGAGGTTCTACGGCCTCGCGCTCCCCATTCGCGCCGGCAGATTCGCTACAAACGGCCCAAGGCATTCACCCCACCCCCTCCCAGTCCCCGCGGAGAGACCCCATCTCCGCCTCCGCCCCACCCCCGCGGCGGCGGCGGCTCCAGCGGGCTCTGGCCTGACCCCACGTGGGGCGGACAGGAGGTGTCGGAGGAGTCGTGTCGAAAGTGCGACTCGGCGCGGCCGCGGCCTCGCGTTTACCCTGCGCTGCTGCGGCCGCCGCCGCCGCTACCGCCGCCACCACCGCCGCCTCCGCCACCGCTGCTGCCGCCCCGAGCCGCCCCCGCCGCCTCCGCCCCCGCCGCTCCCCCCCAGCCTCCTCCTTTGCTCCCTCCTCCGTTGCTGTCCCTCCTTCTCTTCTCTCCCCTCCCCCTCCTCCGTTCTCTCCCTCCCCCTCCCAGGAGCCTCTATTGTTCCGCCAGCAGCGGCGCGGCCCGAACCCAGCCCGGCCCGCCCGGGAGGCAGCGAGCGGCCTCAGGACGAGCGGGGCCAGGGCGTCCGGGCGCCCGGCTGGGCTCGGCGGAGGCTGCTGCGCGCCCTCGGCGGCCAACCCCGTCCCGCCGCCTCTCCCGGCCCGAGGGCCCCGCCCGGACGCCGGCTATGAGCCCGCACTGGCGGCGGCCGGTGAGTACGCGCCCGCCCGAGGGGGGACGTCCGGGAGGGGGCGCGACGGGGGCCGGGGCACTGCCCGCGGGCGGTTGGCGTGGAAACCTTTAAAATAGCTCCCCCCTTCAGCCCGGCCCCGTTGTCCAGAACCCCACCCCCGCCCGGGGGGGTTATCTGGGACCCCTATCCGTTCCGCCGGCTCCAGTAGTCCGGGACTCCCCCCATCTGCCCGGTCCGGTTGTCCAGAACCCCCTCGCAGACCTTCCCCGCCCTGGGCTACGGCTCCTGGAGAGCGTCCAGGAGCGCAGTCCCTTCTCGGCCAGCCGGGATGCCCCCTTGCTACAAAGTATCCTTCAGGGGCGTGAGCCAATGGCAGCTGGGAATTGTTGTTGTTTAACTTGTTACACTTGGATAAAGAGAAAACTGCGGGCGGTTTCCTGGATGGGGGCAGGGGAGCGGGGAGCGCCCGGTGCTCTGGGGGGATTAAGCGGACTCCCCCCCATCCAGTATTGGGTGGCCAGCCTCAACTTGTGCCTCTCTCCGCTTGTCTCTTATCCCTGGAAGGCCTCCTCGGGGGCGGGGGGGGGGGTAGCTGTCACACTCCCAGGCCCCCATTCATTCTTCAGGCTTTAAAATCTATTGATTTGCTTTTCGGTTTTTTTTTTCCCCGACTAACACACTCGATCCACCATCACCACCATTGCCCCCCATTCAAGCCATAACTGGGGGCCCAGTGTGACAGCCACAGGAGCAGAGAACAGGCTGGCCCAGCCAGAGCAGAGGCGGGAAAGCTACGGGGAGGAGTACAGCCTATTGTAGAAAGGGTAAGGGTTGGGCTTGGGGAGTATTGGGTTGTTGGTGCTTGGTTTTACTGTTTTTATTTTTTTCAAAAGAGAAAGACTTGGGAAGTTAATCTAACTTCTTAGAGTTCAGTATGTGGCCTTGCTCAGTAGAGGTCATAATGTTGTTGCTTTAGCAGGGGACTGTGAACTTTTTTTTTTTTGATGTTTTAATATATTGATAACTGTATTTTGGCATGTTTGGTTTCCTTTGTTATCCTATGTAATTTTGTTTTATACACTTAAAATATCATTCTGAGAAGAGGTCCATAGGCTTCACCAGACTGCCAAAAGGAGCCCATGACATAGAAAAGGTTAGAAGCTCTGCCTTAGAAGCTCTTCCCTCACAGAGCCTCCAAAGATCTCCTGGCTCAGGTTTGACAGAGAGCAATAGCCTTGTTTCTGAAATTCTTCACAAACATAAGAATTTGAAGTAACTTTTGCCTAAAGGGTCTGACTTGTATGACTAACCTGGTCTTCCATCAGTATAGCCTGGGAAAAAGATCTTGGTACAGCCAACACTGGGGAGGAGTCTGGATCATCATCTTCTGGCCCAGGTTGCCAACAGTTAGTGCTTCTTACTGCTTCTTGTCCCTGAAGACTCAGCACAGAGGTGTCTCTGAGGGCCTGAGGACTCAGTTGTTTTCAGTGACAACAATCTCCATAGAGACTGAGAGTTTAAAGAGCTCAAATATAAAACACAAACTACTTCATTCCCCTTAAGTCAAAACCCAGGATCGCTTGAGTGTAAAGTTCTCTGTTCTCAGTCCATTTGCCATCACTGAAGTCTCTACTCAAAAGTTCCTTAGTGACTAGGGACCAGTGGCTGATCGGAGATCCATGTCAGAGCAGGGAATGAGGTCAGTGGGTACCAATTCAATTCAATAAACATTTACTAAATGCCTGTTATATGCCAGGAACTGTGCTAAGTACCATACTGAGATTTAGCAGTGCCTAAATATCCACAGGGAATTCAACCTGTGAGTGGTCATTCTATCCCTGCTACTTATTCAGCAGCTCTGAGCCAGTCTTTTCCTAGACCTCAGTTTCCCTACCTGAAAAATAGACAAGCTAATATTGACTTGTGTCTCATATGGATTATGTGAATTACTTAATAGAGTATCTGATGGCATGCTGTTCTTGGTAGGGATTAGGAAGCCCAAGGGTTCATAGGAGAACCCAAGCTATAAGGCTTGTTGGAGCCTGTTTCCCCTAAATCCCTGTTAAGTGCCAAGAGGACCCAGGGAATTATGTTCAGGTGTTACTGTGACATCTAGTGGGGCTCAAGTAAAGAATGACCTGCCTTGTGAGGAAATGCTCAGGGTGGGCTTAGGGGAAGGATACATAGATTAACATAAGTAGAGGTCACCTACACAGTATAGCATAATTAGATTTTTAGCATTGAGCTCTCATCCAGTAGTCTTTCATGAGCCCTGATACCTGGTGCCCTGAAAGAAGGAGTTAAAGACACTACCTATGTGGGAAGTCCAGGGGTCAGGACTCAATCAGCCAAACATTTATACCAAAGCATTGTGCTGGGTGCTAGGGATATAGATACAAAAGTGAGACAGTCCCTGCCCTCCAGGGGCTTCCATTCTAATGAGGGAACACAGTGGTGGCCCAGAAAGGGTCTGAGTGTAGTCATGGGAGACCATGAAAGGAGCCATAGGGCAGTAAATGTCACAGCCCTTCCAGTATCAGTGGGGGAATTAATTAAACTGTTGTTCATAAGACAAGGTAGAAGGGGGAAGAGAGAAGGCAGATGGTAAGACACCTCCCCCAGTGATTACCCCTGGTATCCTGGTGATGACTCAGCAGGATGAACAGCATGGTTTGAACCAGCTAGGTATACTGAGTTTTCTAGAGATCACCCCAATCAGGGGAGCCCAGCTCTGTGGTGGAGGCCTAAAGCAGAGGGAGTGGGTTTCCTCCAGTTGGGAGAGGAGGCCGATGGTTTCTGAGGGTCTGGGTGGGAAGTTCCCTGTCCTTGGTAGGGAGAAGAGGGGCAGATGGCAGGATGCTCCTGCTGGCCAGGGAGGCCCTGGTGCCCTAAGGATGGCTGCACGAGGCAGCGCCCTTGTCTCCTTCCTTCCTTCCATCTGCTTGTGTTGGGAGCCTCTTGGAGCCTTCTTGCTTGGCTTCTTTCCTCCTGTAGCTTGGCTGTGGTTGTCAGGCCTCCCACTCAGCTTCTCACAGCTGTCTGTCTGCATTCCAGATGTGACAGAATGGGGGTGGATTTTGATGTGAAGACTTTCTGCCACAACCTACGGGCCACAAAGCCCCCCTACGAGTGTCCCATAGAGACCTGCCGTAAGATCTATAAAAGTTACAGCGGCATTGAGTACCACCTGTACCACTATGACCACGATAGCCCACCTCCACCTCAGCAGACTCCCCTTCGAAAGCACAAGAAAAAGGGGCGCCAGTCCCGCTCCGCCAACAAGCAGTCACCCAACCCTTCCGAAGTGTCGCAGTCCCCCAGCCGCGAGGTGATGACCTACGCCCAGGCCCAGCGCATGGTCGAGGTCGACCTGCACGGCCGAGTCCACCGAATCAGCATCTTTGACAACCTGGACGTTGTGTCTGAGGATGAGGAGGCCCCGGAGGAGAACCCCGAGAATGGCAGCAACAAGGAGAACACCGAGACCCCGGCCACCACGCCCAAGGCCGGCAAGCACAAGAACAAAGACAAGCGCAAGGACTCCAACCACCACCATCACCACCACCACCACAATGCCTCAGCCAATGCCACCCCCAAGCTGCCGGAGGTGGTGTACCGGGAGCTGGAGCAGGACACCCCCGACGCCCCACCTCGCCCAACCTCCTACTACCGGTAAGGCCAGTCCTGCCCTTCCTTCTTCCTCCAGCATGCCACTGCCCCCGACCTGAAGACCAGCTCCAGGGGAGCAGGGAGCCCAGGCAGGGACTATGTCTGCTTTGTCCTCATCCTCATCCTTCCCCAGTACCTTGTGGGGGACGCTGCAAGTCATCTGAGCACCTCACATTTCTCTAGCGCCCCATAACTCAAAAGGTGCTCTCCTCACCACCACCCTGTCAGGTAGGTGATACGAATAGCATCATCCCTGAGGCTTCCCTGATCTCATGGAGGGGGGAGGGGGATTCCCTCTACTGATGCCACACTTGACCCTTCTTTGAATTTATGAATGGAGGGACTAGAGCACTTGCCACAGGGCAGCCAACCTGGTCAGGAGCCTTTCCAAACTGAGCTGGGTTCTCTGGACGGTCTATCACCCGGTCAATCCATGAGGCCTTGGGTTTAGTGGGACCTGCCAAGGCTTGTGCCCACCTGGTGCGATTTTCTTGAGCCCAGAATCACCTTTGTACTTGGATGAAGCATCAGGGGAGAACTGTAGTCCAGGGTCCCCCTTCTCTAAACAAGATGCAGGGGGATGATTTGCTTTTTTGGGACCACACAGTTAGGGTGTGGGAGAGCTGGAATGTTGGATGGATGGATGGATGGATGGGTGAATGGATGAATGGATGGATGGTTTAAGGAACATGGGCAGATAAGGGGGAGTAGATTAGCCTGGGCCCCTGGCCCATGCTGGGTCTAGGTAATTCTGCCCCAGCTCATGGTGTTCTAAACCTTACTCCCTGTTGGGTTTTTAAGTCAATTCTTTATTCTACTTTTTGCTCATCCTAGCTTCTTCCCTTTGTATTCCTGCTATCTCTCCCTTTCCTGCTCACCTCCTTTGCCCCTTGTGGACTTCCTTCTGCCTGGTTAATTTCTGTGTCTCCCCACTGTGACTGGGGTGCAGCCCAGAAGCCACAGGACCTGATCTTGTTGGGCTTCCTTGCCTCTGGGATACTTGAGCTACGCTGTAGAAAGCTGGGGCCCAAGGCCAGGGAGGGGAGCTGGTTCACTCAAACCTTGCTCTGCAGTCATTCCCAGAGCTTTCAGGGAAGCAGGCTGCGAGTACTGAGGGAAAAGAAAGTACAGGAGGGAATGAGACCCTGTGGGTCAGACCTTGGCTTCTCTCCCACTCTCTGAATATTTCCTTGCCCTCCTACAACAACATTGGTTCATAGAATCATGGCTCTTGAGCTGAAAGGGACCTCCCAAGTCATCTAGGCCAACCCCCTCATTTTACAAGTTAGGGAAACTGAGATCCAGAGAATTAAGCAACTTGCCCAGGGTCACACAGCTGGTGAGCATCAGAGGTGAAATTCGCACTATGACTTGCAGTTTTGTCTGCTGTACCAGGCTGCTTCCCATTGGGCTGTGCTAGGTTCATATGGTCACAGAAGATGGAAAGCTTGATTCTGGGGTTCATGTGAGAAGCCTGAGAGACCCTTCGAGACCTGTGGCTTACCCGAGCGCTTGGTAGGGCCTGCTGAATCAGAGCAGTTTCCAAGGGCTTTCTTTTTTCATTTCCCTGGAGTTACGTGATTATTCAAGGCAGAGACAGGTTGCCAAGTCACCTGCTGTCTACTACCAAATGATAGCCCAGGGTTCTCTCCAGTCAGTGTGAGCCTCCTGTCCTACAGTAACAGGGACCAGGTAGCAGCACATCTTTCCTTTCCTCCTGCCTTCTTACTCTCCCACTCCCTTATGTAGTTCTTTTGTGAAATCTCTTTCCCTTGGGTCAGCTTGCTTCTACTCAGTTGTAACCCTATTGAGCAGGGATTGTGTATTTATATTTGTAACTCCCCCAGTGCCTCACACAGTGGATTGCACATAGTAGGTGTTTGAGGTTTGTCAAATGTTTTCTCTCGGAACATGACTAGGTGT